CAGATATCTCTTTTACAAATTAATAGTATTGATTGAATAATATGTAAAGACATTTCAAATACTAACAGGGTATTGCTTTGCAAACATATAATCTAGTATAAGAATATAATTCTGCAGTCGTTATTTGATGGTAAAATGACTCGTTAATATGCAAAATACTAAATTCACACAGTCATGTATCCAAAATATTAATATATGAATATAACAAACATGCAGACAACGCAATTATTAATTTTATTTATAATTATATGTCTAAGATAATTGTTTGCTTTTCCCTTTCAGGGACATTTCATACATTCAATCGATTTTTTTTCATAAATGAAAAAGAAATTGCTAACACTGTAAGAAATAGAAGTCACGACTATTTTACAACATATGTTGAAACTATGACGAGAATGACCATAATTGAATTCATTACATTTTTGAGATGAATACAATACCTCAGACTTGTTTCGATAACTTAACAGGAGAAATTCGCTAGTTAATAAATAAAACAACTCTAAAAAAACAAATATCATATGACAGGTAAAATTATAAATTTGTATAGAGTCACAACTAGATATTCAGTCCCAATGAAAAGAAAAAAAAACGATTAGCCAATAGCGACCAGATACAAAAGATAAATATAAATTATCTGATAAAGTTGAAAGGTGTTAAATATAATTTATTTTCCAATGAATGCATAATAAAGAGTGCTCTGGACGAAGGTTGCTTGTTTAAACCCGAGAGGCCATTGTACATCGCAAATCAGTCTTATACAAGAAGAAAATACAACAATTTTTTGTAATAATTTTTTTATTTCTTTTGGCGAATAATTTCCATCATGACTGGGTATAAAAGCAATTTAGGAACTTTAAATACACATCATATTTGCTCCGACAACGGTCGCAAATAGAAAAACGTTATGTTAAATTTCAGCTGAGAGGAGTAGTCAAATATGAAATATTGCAAAATTAACACAATTAAAATGCACCGACAACGGTTACACGTGTTATGTATGTCCGATAATTACACAAACATTTTTGATGTCCTTTTAATCATATCATAGTGTTGCAAGAGCACCGACAACGGTTGCATCAAGCAATTGACTAATGTCTTTTCGATTAGCAATTGACTGTTATTTAAGTACTCCGTCGCCCAGCATAAAAGATGTGTCCCCAACCATGACGAAGCGTTGTGATAGCTGACTCCTGAAATGTAAAACAAAGCACAGCAGAAAAAAGGGTTGTGGAGGGCGGGAAATTAAAAAACCTAGATTAAGATTTTAACAAAAATTTTAAAATATGATCAGCAGCTACCTTTCTTAAAGAGATCCAGAACGAAAAGGATGCAGCAGGCTCAAGCAGCTCCTTATATAGTGTTCTAAATATAGCTCTCAGACTGAACATGCGTATTGATACGCAGTACAACTGATCGATATTAAGACATGTGTCATTCATGTAAAATAAAAGAGTTTAATCTTGTATGATTAAACTTTGATACTATACCGTGTTCAATATCAAGAAGATATATGACGATTTCATACAAGGTAACACAGAAACCTGATATTTTTAATTATCCGATATGACGCGATTATATATGATGATAATAGTTTATATTTTGATAGCCGATTTTTTAAAATATTTGTATTAATTGAACTGAGATAAAAATGTATCATTAAATGCTTATTTTTTAACTTCGGTTTAAGATTTTAGACAGTTATAAGTATTATTTAACCATTTAGACTAACTGGAGAGACCTACATAAGTATACCTTTTTTAATTAATAAGCAGTTTTATGAATCACTAACTCTTCAAGTGTATATTGGTATCATAATTGCAGAATGCCCCTTTAATCGGTATTTATATATTTGACAAAATTAAGCTTTAATCCTATTCATTGAATAAATATTGTGTCGCTGAGCAGTTCTTTTTAAAGTATATATATTTTTATCATCAGACATTAATATATCTTAAAAGGTATGGTAAGTGATTTTTCAATGTTTGATCTATTACATGTGCTATGCCTTCAAAAGCTTAAAAAAGCGTTTAATGTATAAAACATGTCACAAAAGACGACCACTTTTGAGGATCAATGGAGTACAACTGGTTTATGCATGTGTTTGATCAAAGCAAACCAAACATGTTATACATCTTCTCATTTTTCGTAATTTATCCAAATGACAAACGTAATATTAAAAAAAAATAGACAATTAAGTAGTTTACTGAAGTCGGGGTCTTCTGAAATAGTTAAGCGAAAACGGTAGTATCATATCATGTTTGAAGAAGTAATTACATTCAAAACCGATGCGGAAATATTATTAACTTAAATTGTCATATGTATTTCAATCAATGTGAATCGAACACAAAGGTTTCCGTTTTATAAATCTTGCTATTTATTCCTCTGTCTACTTTCTACTTGTGCGCTAAATAAACACGTGATATTGGAGAACAAATTTGGCATTTTTGATAATAGCGCAGCTCAAAATAATTTGAGTTTTATATTAAAATACATGGAAAAAGAGAATATATGCCAGTCTTTTGAAACTGTGAAAGTTTCTACACATAAAATTGTGGCACATTCAAATAATATATTGGACACATTATATTTGTACGATTCGTACTATTTGCGTAAGTCTCGAAAACTCCCGCATTCCTTAAATTTATGCATAAAGGGAGGTGTCAAAAATGAGGAACTTATTTAAAATATATTATTTTTTGGTTAGTACTTTGATTTATTTATCAGCCTATCCACTTGTTTTATCATATCATTTTTACATACCTATATTTCTACCTATAAATTTACTTGTTCATCTATGACTTTTGAGATTGCATACATATAGTCCGTCGCGTTTGAGTTTATTTTCTATAAAAACCATGTATTTGTATCTTATGGTTAAAGATGTAGAATTGCAAATAAAGATATATGTAGCAGTGTTACATGTACGCAGCATACATCTCTCAACAAATACGGCTCCCAATTGAGATTATATGGTAATTATTGTTACAGTGATGATAATGAATTTTTAATGATGATTCTGATGCTGATGAATGAGTCAAGTTTATTTTAATTTTGATGTATAATCTATAAATTTTAATATAGTTGTTTTTTTTACCAACTTCCTGACGTTGAGCTTAATTCGCCGATGCATCACTTTTGAAGTCGATGTATTCCATTTACAAACAATTTAAATGTTGATGCTGCACATCAAAGACGCCGCCAAATGATGTTAACAGTCAATCAGCATTGACAATCGTTCTCTATTACAGAAAAATATCCGAAGCACAAATCAATTTTTTCTCCATGTTCTTGTTATGTGCTCGTTGTTGAATAATAAAGTTGCATATTTTTGTGGTGAAAAAGTACAACCTAATGCATAAATTTACAAAGTAATGCCATGTCTGAAATTCTAAAATGTTTTTCTGATGCGACAAAGATTAAAACGTCTGGTCGAAGCAAAATAAATTGGATAAGTAAAATTGAAATGATTGGTATACTTAAAATGAGTTCAAGATAATATATGCCGAGAATATATCCATTTAAATATTGGTACGAATTGCATAATGTTCGAAAGATTTTGAGGACTAACTTTTCTGCAGTGATCTCCCCTAACTGGCTGTAGCGTAACGAGTTCACGGTTGCGCTCTGATAACGGGCGTGGTTTAGGCTTTGTGTTTTGTAATTTAATAATTCGACAAGTGATATTGATCAAAGTTGTCCTGGTTCTCTTCTGCCCCGTCAACGAAGACTAAATGCAAGCAAACGGAGCATCATTTTTTTTGCGACAATTTTAGGCGGAGCCGAACTTTAACAAGGCGGAGCAAATGAAGTAAATGGCACTGCCTTAGTCGTACATGTAACCTCTTTCAACGGTAAAGTTTCAGAACGATCGACTATAGACTGGCTCACTGGCACGTTATTTATTATGTATATAAAATTAGATAATGATAAAAAGAATATGATATTCACACATAGCATTATCATTTTAGTTAGACGTTTATTCAAATCCCTTAAAGCTCCATGACATGTTGTACATCAGAAAAGCTTTTTTTATTAGAAAATTTGAAAACACTGAGATTTTGTTAAAATAAAAAAAATACACAAAATCAAGTCTAAAATTTTCCCCAGTGCTGTATGGCCAAATTCATATCTACTAGACGCCGCTTGCAAGCGGCGTCTTATCAGAGCTATGTTCGTTCCTTTTATTTCATATGTCTTTGGTTCCTTGTAAATAAATGCATTCTCATTGTCTAAATTATAACCAAACTATTAATTGAAACGTAATTTACTACAAATTTTGGGTCTTTTCTTAGCCTCGCGTATTATCAAGAGAAGTTTGTAAATCAGAAAATGAAAGAAATTGAAACATTATTATGATTGATACATTCAACGATCATGTATGTTGAAGTAAAGGTTGTAACCACACTCAAGTGAAATTGTGTATATGTTTATAGTTATGCTTCTAAAACAATTTTCAAACATCAAAGAATATGTAAAATATGTACTACAAATATTTGTCAACATAATATGTAATCATTAAAATTTATGCATTCATTTCTTATTGAAAAAATTGACATAGACTTTATAGAAAACAAGTTTCTAATAACCTCCCTTTATTTACTAAAATGTAAATTCGGATATATCTTTACAAATAACTCCTTTTTGGAACTTACAATATTGAGTTATCTTCATTTAAGCATTGTGTTTATGATAGAATACCATAAACATGAGTTACAGGATCCTTAAACAAAACTATATTTGATATATTTTTATATTATGCTTAACAGCTACATAATATTATGTCGGCAAGCAAACATCAAGTTTCCCTTTCTTAAAAAAGATTGATCGCATGCCAGTGTATAAACCAAATCGATTTATTTAATAATCAACCTTGTGGATGTCTTTAAACAAACCTAAGAGAAACATGATATTCGTCATTCAATAGATATATTTTTCATTTATTCATACGTAATATCCATAAATAGTCCATTTGATATTGATTTGCCTTAAGGTGTGAGTTGTTGGAATTTCATTGGCTAAATGGAAAGCGACTTCGTCGACCGAAACGCGAATTTAAAAGGGTTGAAACTTGTGTTTGATTTAAAAAAAAAGGCGACATTATGTAGACAAGTACTAAATTCTTTCCAAAAATATTAGTATACGTTTTTTGTGATCGAATATGTTTTATCTGATTTCATTTAAACAATTACGAGTAGAATTTCAAACATTTTAAAGATTTACCTTGTGCATGATTTTAATACCGCAGTATTCAAAACATTGTAAATGGATTAAAGAAGACACTTTACCGTAAGTAAAATATTGTTATGTATCTAACCTGTTTCTGTATCAGATGTTTTATATAATTATGTTTGTGCTTTATTTTCCTTTTCTAAAGCAAACATAATCTTTTTCATAGAAAACCAGATGTCTCTTATTGGATGGGTTTACTTTTCAAGCATGAACCAAATTAAACAAGCATGAATTAGAATATGATATTTTTAAAGAGCAACTTCTGAACGGTCTTCTAAACAAACCACAATTTCACAGCTATGACAGCATTTTAATCCGACAACTTGATTACTTACAATCAGCATGTGGTTACGATACCAGTCTGTCAAACATGATGACCAAAGGCTCTAATTTAAATCCACAAGTTTTTAAGAGTTACTTTTGCATAAATGCCTTTTACATGCAATATCAGAAAAGCTTTCTGAAATGTTTATTGAACCTTACTACTTCAAGAAAAATTCAAAAATCAGAATCATACTAAGAAGGTATTTGCTAGAATACATATATACGTACACATAACAATTCAACAATGCAACATTATAGACATATTCATACTTTTAGTTCATGAATATAAGGCTTATAAGTCCATGATGACATGATAACAACAAAATGCAAGACAACGAACAGTGTATATGTCGACATACTAAACATGAATATGGATTAATTAACATAACATTTTTATCAAGTAAAAATACATTAATGTTGTGTTTAACTTGCATGTATATGTTTATTATCATTTGATATAAATATATACCAAAACTTATACTTGATAAATGATTAGAGTTGTAAACGTATATGAAATTACATCTGCTTAACAAATAATTGATTAAATACATACATATTTTAATAATTTGTTTGAAATGGTGATAACATTAACATATCAGCCTTACCGAAAAGAAACCGCGCGACTGATGGCATGCTGTACATTTACAATCATGTTTAAAATTACTTTATATTATTATTATTATTAAATTCGTGTTTCGTATACCTTTATATAAAGATGAGATATTTCTATAAAAAGGAGCTCATAGCATACAATTAAATAAATATTCATGACAAATGATGTATTAATAACATTATTCATGTGTCAAAGCTCTTTCGCCCTTGAGACAAAAGATAATAAGAAGTAATAAAATTTACCTTAGAGTATATCAGTCATCATTTTCTGAAAATATATATCACTTAAATGGTATGTATATTCTATAGAAATAAAACATTATACTTCTTTTCAGAAAAGTCAACAGTTAATTATATAGTAATGGAGACTGTAAGCAAAATCGTAAACAATCTTTAGGAGTACATGGTAATGAAAAACAGCATAGTTACATGAGTCAAGTTTTATTCAGTCATGATAATTGTTCTCTACATACATGGACACCACACCCCGCTTTTAATGATATAACAGGTCCAATATAGCCGCCGTACATAACATCTGTGGGTGTATTTTCATTTCAAGATTTCACAATTTTATATTTGAATGTTAAATTCTGCTTAATTTAGAGCCTTATGAGAATGAGCTGTACCAGTACCGTTAGTACCGTTTATACACATACACGACAATCAAACCGAGACTACAATATATTCGATTTTGCATTTTGTAGATGCTGTTTCATCTCTATTTTATTGTTACACTTGCGTTTTATGAAGTGTATGGAGGTCGTAAAACATCGCCCCCAGACGTAAATAGAACCAGTACATTCAAAGAAGATATTTTAGATTTTAAAGATCGATGTTATTGATGTGTAAGCGATATTATTTGTTCGTTTTGGGGTTATGTAGTTCTTGTATTTCTCCTTAAGCTTAGGATATGTCGCAGCTCAAACGAAACAAAGGGCTCGTTGACTCTGCTGTGAGTTCTGGACCTGGGGTAAAGGGGTCTGTAAAAAGACAAGTATGCGCTAGAATAATATTTATTCTTCACTACAACGAAACCGTGGCCTGCGCGAACAATTTCTCAATTCAAGTGTAAAATATGAAAATCGCAAAAATCGATGAATGGCAAAATATATATGAATAATAATAGCATCATCTGCAAAAGTCTATTTAGCTGTAAAAAGACAAGTATGCGCTACTCAAAATATTTATTCGTCACTACTTCAAAACCGTGGCCTGCGCCAACCATTTCTCAATTCAAGTGCGCATGCGTTGTGCAGATTAGCGGGGAAATTGAAATTTTAGCGACAAAAGATAATAGAAGAGATTGCAAAGTTTATAAAGTACTATTATGTATAGGTAACGGCTATTGGACATGAGATATGAGCTATGAGTATATGAATTAAAGAAATAACTACTGAAAACAATAAAGGACATGGACACTAACATATAAATATACAGAAACAGGCATGGACACGAACAGACTAAAATATACAGCACTTAGCAATTCGGACAATGTATACTTGACCCTGTGACAGATATATCGTCTGTTTTCTAAAGTTGTCTTCGGACGCCTTACATAAGTTATAAAGGCTTTATAACCTATGATACCTTTTCGAATTGTATTTAGTTGTGCTTCGTGCATTTTGCTTTTGGCACAAGCATATCAAAGTTTCGAATGATTTGCCATTTTTCATGGAATCGTACGAACGGGCCAGATTGTTGGTTCCATTGTAACCGCAGCATAAACACATGCGGTTGTTATTAACTTACAAATTGTCCACTTGATACAAGAACCATTCATGAACAGGCTCCTAAACAATCTTTTTTTCATTTTTGCTGGTTATGCATGACGGATTCCGTCTTTCTCCATGCAATTCTTTCTTTCATTTCATCTGAGTTGAAACAGTCAAAATGTGTCGCTCTCTTTAACGTTTATTCGCAACACAGTATCGACAATTCAATATTCATTAAAAAGAAAAATTGTTTAATCTTAAGGTGGTCCAGCAAAAATGTATAAATACCTCGGCAATATTCAATATTTTTCGGTAATTGTAAAATCTTTTAAGTAAGAATATTATGTTCATTCCACCAAGATCGAAGTAAAATATCCTCAAAAGTAAGTGTGCTTATTCTAATCATGAAAGCAAATCGGCCAATAGTATATATATTATAGAATATTAAAATGGGGATATTTTTGATCGCATTCAAAGATAGTAATATAAAACTTTAAATAGAGTCAGTTATTTTCGTCTCTGCGTTGCTTATTACGGACAAAATATTTTCGTATACCCGTTTGAATTCATTTTTTTTGGTTTACAATCTACATTGTTGCTATTTACGACATCGACGGTGTGCTTCTTAATAGCACACTTATGTAGGAACACCGCTAAAGCATTGAATTATGAGTTACAAAGAAATATGTATCATGAAATAGAAAACACAAGTATACAGCTTTGTTTATTTTCAGTGTTGTTAGGTTTTCCCAATGACAACGGTACTAAATAAAGCTGATAAAGCACTTTTATTTCTAATTCAATTCATGTCGAATTCTTGATTTCAATAATAAGGCCTAATTATGTTAGAATCATTATCTTTTATAGCGGTAATCATTTGCTTTGTCATATTGAATTGAGAAGAAAACTAAAATTGTTCATAGTTTAAGGTTGGGAGTAATTTACCTATTTATCTTTGTATATGTCATCTTAGATTTTTAATTTGTTCGTAATCAATTAGCATTTCTTTGCAAAAAAGACTTAGGCAATTATACGAAGTTAAAATATATCTGGCAATTTAATCGTATTAATAAAAATACAAGATCTAAGAAATAAATATAAAAGACAAAAATCGTTTAGATAATCTGATTGACAAATCTTTGACTTATGGGTCTGATCAATCAATTAAAGTGTTTTTGAACAGACACCGAAACATAAGATAAATTTGTGTTTTGAAAACAGATTGCCCAAAACATAGTGTCTTTTAACATTGAGCAAGTTGTACAGGGAACAATATAATTGACAGTGCCGTCTTTGTGTTAAATTTTAATGTGGTTATTTATATGAAGGGGCAAACAGACCTTGTTGATGTCATTTATGGTGCATTGACACCTTAAATGGATTGAAAAGAGGTTCCTTAACCACATAGACATTTTTCGTTCGCGCTGTAGTTTATAAGTACATTTTGCTTCTCTTAGATCCAGTCCATTCAATGTCTAAGTCATGAAGTAAAACAATACTAGTAAACAAATAATCGAAAAAAAATGACCACCATTGTTTCCTACATAAAAACTTTTAACAACAAATCTTTGATGTTCTCTTATTAAAAATAATAACAATTATTTCTAAGTGTCGAGGAAATCAATTACATTTGCAAATCTCTAACAGGATGTTTTAATTGTGTAAAATGTTTAGAACTACAACCATTGTTTTATATGCAGCATGTAACATATTTGCCTGTTAATCAGAAATGGACAGCAACAACAAAACAAAACCTTCAACAACAACAACAATAATTTTTTTTACTTATTATTCCTAAGTATGACATATAATTGACAACGAAATATGCGTTAATGATCAAGATTTGACGGAATAACCTGTTGCATAGTTTAATTTTCTTGAATACCTTAACCAAATATAATTTGTCAGCCGCATATTTTGAAATGCCGACCTGTCAGAAAACAAAAAAAGAAAAACAGGCAACATATTATTGGAGCTATCATCTTTTTCCATAGTAATTGGTTAGGACTAGGGTAAACCATTACTGTGATTGCTGTGAGCATGACGTGGTCATCACGAACGTACAGGATACAATTAGCAATGACAGACTGGTGTTCCCTTTATGCCATCATATGAATGGTGTAAAACATTAACCTTTATTTTAAGCAAACTTGATCTTTGTTTATTTTGTTCGGTTTGTACTTTTGTATGATACTTGTTCTACCCAAACCTTGGTAATTTAGAGTTACGTTGAGACATATCTATGTTTTGACATAATGTAGTGTGACAATTTCAGCAATAGTATCATGCTAACGATAAGAATATAAGATTTGGACACTGCGTGATGACAATACTATCAGAAACATTTGAAGTAATAAAATATCAATCTATAACCGTACTAGAAGTTCAATATAATTTCATTATTTACCA